CTCAGTGTGTGGGCGTGGTCAGAGGAGCAGGCCCTCAGTTCTTCATCTCTGCAGCTACGGCTGCCGAGATGGAAAGACACAGCTGGCAGTTTGAAATTAGGGTGGGTATATGATACAAATAGAAAGTGAGACTTGACATCTGGGCATAAACGAGCTGATGGCTGAAGGGTTTCCTCTCTTTGTAGACCTTTCTTGTGTTCTTATTAGACGTGGTCTGAGGTGCGTTTCCAAATACCAGGCATTGCCACTTCTGCGAGATGATCGCGCACAGGTATGAGCGTACGCGCCCTGCGGGCAGTGCCTGGGGGCAGGTAATTGGCAGGGCTCAGCTGGGTGAAAAGGTTATGTCAGGAGTTGCCAGTCCTGATCCTACAGGACCACACGTTCCTGCCAAACTGTTACACAATCGACCCCCTTAATGGACCTGATAATATTTCTTTGAACTGTTAAGATTGTTTTCAGCTCTTAAGCACGTAGGAGGCCTCCTGTGTATAAAAGCTGGAAGCAGTGGGATTTCATAACCTAAAATTTCTAACTTTTGAGAAGGAAAATAACTTGAACAATAACTCAATTAAGTTATTAAGGTCAGCTAGAAAGAAAACCAGCAGGCCTGTGTGCTCCTCCAGGACCAGAATTGGAAACCCCTGGGGTAGGTGAATGCTGCCCTTTGGACTTCTTCAGTAACATTAGTAAATGTGTTTGAGCCCGTGTGTGTGTGTGTGTGTGTCCTGCTAAAGTTCTCTACGTTTTCTCCTTGTCTCTCCCTTTGGGAGTGTGGAAAAAGCTCTCCAATCATGATGTTAAAGTTGATACCCTGGCTTCTTTCAAGAAAAGGCAGGATGAGATCCTTCTTTACCCAAAGGGTGGCGGGAGTATGGAACAAGCTACCCAGCCATGTTATTGAAGTCTCTGTCCTAGCTTCTATCGGGAAATGGTTGGATGCGATACTTAGATCTATTTGCATCTAACGGGTCCGATGGGTCAAAGGGACTCCTCTTTCTCCTTGTTCCCCCCTGCTCCCCGTCTCCCACAGTCGGGTATGGACTGCTCTGCTGAACAGGAGAGCCCTAGGTGGTTGTAAACACGAATTTCCCTGCTGTTCTCTACCTCTCTTCCCCTCTTTTCCTCTCACTCAAACTGCTTTTGCTTCAGTTAAAGAGGACTTAATTGGCATGACAGATCAGTCACTTTACTGCAAAAGCATAATGGTTAATTGCAGTCGTGAGTAATTAAGTTACAGCTCAAAAGGCAAAACAAAACCATTAATAAGATTTTTTTTTAATTCAGATGACAAAACGACTTTAGCTAATGTTAGGCTGCAAAGAGAAAATTAGAATCAATACATATATACAGTTAACAAAATTAAATGAAAGTAATATTTTCATATGGGGAAATGTAAAATCAATAGAAATGGGTTCTGAACTCCACAAATTACTCTTTTTATTCATCTTTCGTATACTTTTTCTCATTAAATGCCTTTTCTCTTTCTGTCTCTGCTTTTTATCACCATGTTCAATAGCATCTCTATGGAAGCCCGTTTCCGCCAGGGAGTAAAAAAAAACGCGCTATGGTATCTCGGAATTGCGACTTAGCAACTCGGAATTGCGACTTTATATCTCACATTTGTGACTTCGAAATAGCCATATTTCATTGTCTGTCCTTTTGTTATAGTAATGGATTCGGGTTCTAGGGCTTGTGCCTATTTCTGTATCTTATTTCTTATTCTGTCTATGTAAATAAAAACTAGTTTTAAAAAGCCCACCGTGCACTATTCCATCCGGGTACTATGGAAGCCTCACTGGCGGAAATGGGATTCTATAAAAATTAGTGTAATTAATTTGATTTTTATCAGGGCACTGTACAGGACAAGTCTTCAGGCTTATAGATCCTATGAGCCTGTACGATTCATGAAAATAGTGTAACTGAACGGCCGACATACAGTTTGTACGATCTGGGAGCGGCGAGGGCACAAGCCCTAGAACCCGAATCCGTTACAATAACAAAAGGACCGACAATGAAATATGGCTATTTCGAAGTCGCAAATGTGAGATATGAAGTCGGAATTCTGAGATAATAAGTCGGAATTCTGAGATACCATAGCGCGTGTTTTTTTTTACTCCCTGGCGGAAACGGGCTTCCATACATCTCCGTGTTCGGGACTGTAGCTAAAAATAAATAGGATTTATAAAGTAAATGATTTAGAAGTGCTTAGTGATTGCAGCTCCAAAAGCAGCAACTTCATTGCTAAATAGTAAGCCATTAAAACAATGTAAGGTTTGGGTTTTGGCAGGACACTCCTGGTTATTATCCAGCTGAATTGCTCTTTTATTTATAATGGAGCATTCAGAAAGCCACCTAAATTGGTACATGAGTCCCTTTGCAAACCGTGCTTTATTTTCAAGAAAGTGAGGACTGCTTCTCAGGTAATGAGGTAAATCATCAACCTTGTGCAATTTTCAAGAATACGTATTTATTTTTAAATTAATTAAAGGGCATTAAATACAGAATCAGACTAGACAGGAAACTACTGTTGAAGGCCCAGATTTTGTTGTTATTTTTTCCTCACCCCTGCAGACCGGAGAAGATGGGCAGCAATGAGACAGGGGAGGCCGGGACAGAAGTGCCCGTTGTGACTTTCTCTGCCCGCTCTCCATCTCTCTCAGGTTGGTCGCCTGGCTGCTCTTGAAGCTCCTCGGCAGGGTGTTCTGCAGCGTCCAGGTCAATCTCAACCAGCTGGAGGCTCTCGGCAGGGCTTCAGAACGGGTATAGCAAAGCTGCTGTGTTCTTCACCTTAGTCCACGCCGGGACAGGTCAGCAGTTGTCAGACTCAGATCTGGGAAGCCCTCTCCAGAGACGGTGCACGGGATCCCCAAAAAGCTTGTCCAAGCATCTTCTAGAGCAGGGGGCTCAATTCAGGTTGTTGATGTACTTTTGTTTTGGTTCAGAACAGAGAAGACCTCTGTTGGTCTTATAGTGGTCAAATTATTTAAATAATATTTGCTAACTGTAATAGTAGCCGGGCTCTGATGTGTGTTTTATAGACAGTTATCATCTGAATGGAGTAAATGTTTTAAGCAGTCTTCTGCAAAACTGCTACAGACAAATCCTGTGTTTGTCTAAGGAAATAATTGTTAATTGTTTGATTGAACTAGAGATTAGATGTCGTGTCTCTTGTCCCCTCATTTACACTCAGTTGTCGCCTTATAAAGGGGGTACCAGCTGATTTAGACTCCCTCAGCTAGGACCGTAGGAGTACTGAGCACGACTCAGTGCTCGGATAAAGAAGTCTTTTCACAGGGCCCACCTCTAGTGCTGGTCTCAGTCCACCGCTCCAGCCTGGACTATATATTCATACCGTTGGTCCTGTTCTGCCATGGCCTGAGAGTCCCGTATACTATCTGTGAGGAGAGCTTGGAAAGCACCTGGCTCAGGTATTGTATCAGTGCTGGCGCAGGTAAAGTACTTTACTGTACGTCACCTGGCTGAGGTGTTGTATCTGTGCTGGCGCGGGATAGTGATATAGTGTACATCACTTAGGTCAGGTATTATATCAGTGCTTTCTTGGGTGTAGTACTATGCTGTACGTCACCTGGCTCAGGTATTGTGTCAGTGCTGCCTTGGGTATAGTACTTCACTTGCTACAGACTATGTGTTGCCCCTGTCTTAGATGCTGTACTTGCCTCAAATATTGCACCTCTCTTGTCTTGCTTGTGATGTACTCTACTTCAGCAAGCTCGGAATTATAGTGTACCTGTGTCACCTCTATTGTCCTTCTCAGAAATTGTACCAAAACCTTTGTAGCTGTTGCAGTACTCTATACCCCAGCCTTATATACTGTCACAAGTACTGCACAAGAGTGTCGTTGTCTGTATCATTTGTGTCAGATTTTCTGACCTTTTCCAATACTGTGCCACCCCATTCCACCTGTGTCTGTGCTGTAATTCATCTCTTACACCTGTCTCGGGTACTGGACCGCACTTCACAGCACCCTGCTCTCTAGTCTCCTGAACTGTTCCGATCTCAGGTATTGTCACACCTGTCTCAGTTGATATGCTCTTTGTTAACCGTCTTGACTGCTGTACCTGTGCATACTATGTCTTAAGCTGACTCGGGTGCTGTCTCCCCTGGTGTGTCAGGTGTGCTCTCTCCCCGGTCAGCTTTACATTTAATTTGTACGGATGAGAGAGTATTAGATATTCTCTTAATTGTGTTATTCCTATTAATTCAGATTCTCTGATATCAGGTTATCAGATTATCAGATATGATACTACTACAGTTTATAGTACTGCAATAGCTGTCTACAGTAAACCCAGTGTTAATGGAAGAGCCATTGAAGTCAGCCATAATGCGAAGTGTAACCTACAGCTTCCTGTCCCCTCTCCCTGCAGGGCAGTTCTTCAGAAACTGGGTGTGATCCTCCCTCCCCACCAGCCGGTCGGCGCTGAGGGATCTGTGACTGACAGCCTGTGCAGAGAGATCATGGCCTCCGTAAGTCCTGGGCTCAGAGCCACATGGAGACAGGTTACGTACTCAGAAGCAGAAGGCCGAAGCAAGGCTGGGACGATAGTTCCAGTTTAAGACGGAGAGCCCTATTGTAACAAAACTGCTATGCTATCCTACGGCATTTGTTAACATACAAATAGTAAAAAGTATCTTTCTAATATGATGGGGGGGGAGTGTTATTGATGTTGAATGTGATTTAAAATGCCTTTTACAATGCAGTAGTTGGCAAGCTCAAGGACTAAAAACCCATACAGTCAACTCAGCGGGGCAGTCGGAGCCTTGTGATCCGTGCACAGAGCAGAGGGCCCTGTAGAAGCAGAGAAGCTCTATTGCGTCTCCTCTCCTCTCTCTCTCCCCCCCCCTCCCAGTACGTCTGTGAGCTGCTGCAGGAGGGCGAGAGTGTGCTGATCTTCCTGGAGGACCCGAGCCCCACGTCGCGCCGCCCCTCGCCCCCCAGCGCGCTGCGGGTGGCCCAGGTCCGCCAGGCCGCGCGGTCCGGCGCCGTGCCCGATGTCATGCTGGTGCCCGTGGGCGTTGCCTACGACTGCGTGGGTCAGGAAACTGGCACCTCCGGCGTGCAGGTACTGGGACGACACAGATGAGCTGGTCCCCCGCCGAAACACCATGTTTTTATTTGTATTACTACAGGGGACCCCTATTATCTGCGGGTCCTGGGGGCCAAGGGTCTTAGCCTGTGAGGTCTGGGAAAAAACAGGGTATCGCAGAATAGACTAGACTACATTTCATCAGCACATAAGTGAAATACATTGCCGAATATTTCGAAACTGCACAGGTTGAGGCTGAAGGCACCGAGCGTGTGAGAGACGTGAAATGATAGGGGGTAGGTGTGAAATCAGTGGGGAATGGATGGTAGCAGTTTAAACGTTACTGCAGTGTACATTAGTGCAGCGTGAAGTCTGTTATTATTACGGAACAAGTAATAGGTTTATTCCATGCTGAAAAGAGAAGAAAGAAAACACGTTTC